AGGGCCTCCGATACACCTTCCCTTCTCCCCCGCTCTTTTCCCTCCTCCCCCAAGTGCTGCTCAAGATCCGCTGGGACCGGGTCACAATCATCTTGATAGCCCCATGCTGTCCCCAACAGTCCTGGTTTCCCAATCTACTCAGACTGTCCCTTGTCCACCGATAAACCTCCCCACCCTGCTGGATCTCTCACCTAGGAACACAGCCACGTTCGATACCCCAGCCCAGGCCCACTCCAGCTGACGGCCTGGTTCTTGGATGTGGCTCGCAGGTTTACAATGCCTGTTCGTCACCCGTCTGACACACAGCAGACGAGACTCCCCATGGGCGTGGTATGTCGCAAAGTGGAAGCGCTTCACCTCTTGGGCTCAATGCCACCACCTTCCTCAGAGGGACGTCTCCGTGCCTGTCATCCTAGAGAACCTCCTGGAGCTTGAGCACTCGGACCTCGTACTTAGCTTGATACGTGTTCACCTTGCAGCACCCAGTGCCTTCCTTCCCCCACTGCACAGAGGGTCGCTGTTTACCCACCCTGCCACTACCCGCTTTCTAAAGGGCCAGATGAACTGCTTCCTGCCGGTCCTTACCTCTACACCTTCCCCCCACCCCGGGCCTTAATCTTGTGCTATCTGCCCTCACCAGGCCCCCCTTCGAACCACTGGCCACATGCTTCCTCTTACCCTATCCATGAAGGGCCTCTTCCTCGCGGCCACCACTTCCGCTCGGCAGGTCAGCGAATTGGCGGCCATGATGGCAGACCCCCTGTATACCATCTTCCATAAGGACAAATTCTCCATGCGCCTTCACCCTACGTTTCTCCCGAAGGTAGTCTCCAAATTCCACCTCAACCAGTCTATCCAGCTCCCGGTCTTCCATCCAAAGCTGCACGCCACTCCCATGGACAGGACACTCTCTCCCCCCCTCTGGCAGCAGGTTGTCCCGCTTGCTAGGGGCTTGGAGCCATATTACAACTGATTATTGGGTTTGGGTTCTGTCCTGCAGCTTGTCACTGTTCCCCCACGCCTCCCACTTCCCTGTCCCTTTTCAGGGACTGATCTCACAGGCCTGCTCTCATTCCAGAAGTGCAGTCTCTTTGCAATCAGAGGCTATAGAACTGGTACCTCCTCAGCACTGGGGGAAGGGATTTTATTCCTGGGATTTTCCCGTTCCAAAGTCCAAGGGAGGCCTCAAACCAGATCTGTGAAACCTGAACAAATACAGAACAAAGAGAAAGTTGTGCATGATTACCCGGTTTCTGTTATCCTGTCCCTAGATCCTGACGATTGGTATGCTGCCCTCAATTTTAAGGTTCCTTGTGGCAGATGTCCAATTCACAGTCATGTTGGGTCTGTCCTCAGCCCCTCAAGTCCTCACAAAGCGTATGACAGGGTGGTGCTACCTCTCAGAGGGTAGGCATCCAAGTATTTCTGTACCTGGATGATTGGTTGATATGAGGACAATCCATGTACCAGGTGTAGGTCTGCATCAAGACAGTCCAATCCCTTGTTCATGCCTTGGGGCCAGTTAATCAACAAGGGCAAGTCATTACTGCTTCCTGTGCAGAGAATTGATTTTACTCCAGTTCGGTGAAGGTATACTTACTCCCGGACAGATTTCAGGCAAGATTGGACCTACGCAAAGGTCTCAAGGCCCATCCTTGTACAACGGTAAGGAGTTGCCTGAGACTTCTAGGACCTATGGCAGCTTGCATGACATGCCAGACTTCACCTCAGAGGCAGGGTGGTTGGAGTTTGCTTACTGTCCATCTCGTCACCTACTGGACATGCTGATGCACTTGCTGCAAGTGTCTTGTCTTCCTTAGATTGGTGGATGGACCTGCTAGCGCATGCAAAGGGGTCTCATTTTCCCTGACTCTGCCCTACATGACTCTGCTTACAGATGCTTTGTCCCTAGGCCAGGGAACTCATCTGGACAGACCTTCAGACTTTGGACAGATCAAGAACTCTCTGTGCACATAAATGTTCAAGAACTTTGAGGGATTCATCTGGCATGTCAGGTGGATCCACACATCAAAGGCTGTACTATGCAAGTCCTCACAGACAACGCTGCTACTATGTTCTGCTTGAACAGACAGGGAGGTGCCAGGTCAGATCACCTTTGCCAGGAAACTATAGAGCTCTGGGGTTTTTGCTTCTGAAATACCATGACCCTCAAAGCCTCACACCTCCCAGGTGTTCAGCACTGTCTGGCAGATCAGCACAGCAGAACATGCAGCAGGAATCACAAATGGTCCCTCAAGATGGATGCAGTCAAATCTATCCTCCAGGCTTGGCAGATGCTAGAGCTAACGCTCTGCTCTGTGACTGAAGAGGAAGTGTCACCTGCTCTGTTCCAGGTCAGATCTCAGCCCAGGGTCTACCTCACATGCATTCCTTCTCCTGTGGAAGGGCAGGCTGCTGTATGCCTTTCCTCCCCGGGGTTTTGTGCTACTCAAACAGGATTATGCCATTCTGATTCTGACAGCACCAGCCTACTCACATCAGCATTGGTCCTTGGACCTCCTGAGACTCTGCCTCAAGGCCCCTAGAACACTGCCTCAAGTCACTGATATAATTTCACAGAACTATGGCCAGATGATGCACCCCACCCCCCCCAGCCCTAATCTCACAGTTGGGATGCTCAGTGGTTGTCAGCTCAAGAGACTGAGTGTTTCCTAGAGTTTCAGGACATTCTCTTAGGAAACCATCCATTAGATATATTTACACGATGAAGTGGAGATGTTTCTCTGTATGGTCCTAGTTGTGGGATACACCTCTTATGCAGACTTCTCCTTCGCTTATACTGGAGTATTTACTTCCCCTAAAGGGAAAAGGACTTTCCACTTATCCCACACCCCTTTGGGACTTAAATTTGGTTTTGTCAGTGTTAATAGGTCCTCCTTTTGAGCCTATGGCTACTTGTTTATTATTGCATCTCTTACTGAAAGTAGTATTTCCAGTTGCCAGTAAGAGGCTGGGAAAATTATGAGCATTAGTTGCAGACCCCCAGGGTGCAGTTGTCTTTAAGGACAGGGTTTATTTCTGATTACGGTGGTTTTGGATTCCCACCTTAATCAGTCTATCTACTTACCAGCCTTTTCTCTAAAGCTTCACTGTCATGAGGATGAAGAGGGCCCCTGTACTTCGGATGCCCACAAGGCATTAGCCTTTTTCTTGGACAGGTCTAGACTGTTTGGTGTCCCTCAGCTGCTCTTTTCCTTCACTGACAGAATGAAGGGGCAGCCTGTGTCTTCACAGAGAATATCAACCTGGATCTGAGCCCTGCTCTGCATTAGACGCTTATGTCGGTATCATAAGTGTTATGTCTGGGGTCTGTACAGCCCCGCCGGAGGACAGGGCTGGGGGCGGGGCTGGAGGCGGTATAGCCGCACCGGAGGAGCTGCTGGCGAGGGGCACTGGCTCCTGGGAGCGGCGGCCCCACGTTCTGCTCCTTTCACCACTGCAGTTCCCGGGAGAGCCCTGCGGTTCAACAGCTACCGATTTCTATCCGCGGATATCTGCATCCGCGGATATACATTTGTATCCGCGCAGGGCTCTAGTCACGGACCATTGGGATGGGGGTCGGTACCGTACCGTATCGGAGGGAGGCTCTGGAACAGCTTCCCACTGGAAGGGGGTGGGGGACAAAAGGCCTAGCTATTTTTAAAGCAGGTTTATGAATGGGATGGTATGATGGGCTGCCTGTGACAGTAGGGATGGGAAGGTCCCTTCCAGCCCTATGTCCAACGTTCCTGTGTGCCAGTCTTGTCCCCAGCCACGGGAGAAAGAAATTCCCCAAGAGTCAGGGATAGCCCCTGGCAGCCATAGACTGCACCAGCAGCAGCCAGAGCCCAGGAGGAGCGGTCCAGCTACGGCAAGCCCCTGTTTTTCCATCAGGGACCTAGATCCCAGTGCGGCGGCAGCAGCAGCCCAGCCAAGGCCTTTGCTGCCTGTAAACCCTATGGCAGGTTGTCAAACTTCACTGCACCGTAACCCCCTTCTGACAACAAAAATTACTACATGACCCCAGGAGAGGGGACTGAAGCCTGAGCCTGCCCGAGACCTGCCAACCTGGGTGGGTGGGGGCCCAAAGCCCAAAGGATTCTGCCCCAGGCAGGTGGCCTGTAACCTGAGCCCCATCCCCTAGGGCTGAAGCCCTCGGGCTTCGGCTTCAGCCCCAGTTGATGGGGCTTCCGTTTTGGCCCTGAGCGGTGGGGCTCGGGCTTTGGCTTCAGCACCGGCAATGCCAGCCCTGGTGACCCCATTAAAATGGAGTCATGGCCCACTTTGGGGTCCTGACCCACAGTTTGAGAACTGCTGCCCTATGGCATTCCTGGAGGTGGTATTTTTCTCTCTGTTCCTGGATACCTGCAACAGTCTCCTTTATGGGGGTCAGACAGCATACCCTCGCCTTCTCCTCACACTACTCCACACAAGGGAGCAATCCGTATTTCCCCCCAATCCCTCCCGTCCCCCAATGATGGTTCCCAGTACCTCCTAGGCAAAATGACTCACCGTGGCTGGACAGCAAAGTCGGATGGGGTGGGTGGAAGGTGGAATGTAAGGGAGCAGGGGATTTTGGGTGGTTGGTGGGGAGGAAATTTCATGTGTATTGGGGGCCATATTTCCTAGCCAGACGTGTGGTTAAAGTCTAAGTAAGCAGGACCCTCTTTCTGTAGGTGTATGGCTCTGGGAGAGGGACTGGGGTGAGTGGCTCTGGGCAACTTGTGGAGGATGAATGCGACTTTCTGTGTGTGAGGTACATGTGGCTCTGGGGGGCCATTAGTAGGTTATACAATGATGAACATCACGGAAATCACTGTACATAAATAAGCATTAAATCACCATGCTGCAAGAGGAGCGGGTCAGGTGCTCAGTAGAGACACCTCTGCTTGGTCTCTGAGCCAGTTAAGCTCCTGGAGAGCTTTTTTCTAGACGTCACCAAATGTTCTGTTGCCTCCCTGCTGCATACTGCTAATTGGGGCTGGGTCTTTCTCTTTCAGCGGAGACTCCAATTGAGGAGTTCACCCCGACTCCAGCCTTCCCAGCGCTCCAGTACCTGGAGTCAGTGGATGTGGAAGGTGTGGCCTGGAAAGCAGGACTTCGCACGGGAGACTTTCTGATTGAGGTAAGCGCCCGAGGCTGAGCAGAGCTCGGTGTGCTCATTGCTAAGGGTAAGATTCTGTCACGGTTATTTTTAGTAAAAGTAATGGACAGGTCATGGGCTATAAACAAAAATTCATAGAAGCCCATGACCTGTTCCGGACTTGTACTAAAAATAACCATGACAAAAGGGGGCTGACATGGTAGGGGAGGACTGAACCTGAGTGGAGGAGATGAGAGCCTGGGCACCACTTCAGAAAGGCAGGGGTCCAGCACCTACTGCCCACGGCGGCTCGGAGCTGTGGGGGCCCCCCGCTGCCCACAGCGGCTCAGAGCTCCAGGGCCCCTGCTAGCTGACTGCTCTGGCCCACCACCCTAGGGCTGGAAAATGTCACATAGGTCTCTGTATGTCATGGTATCAGTGAGCTCCGTGACATAATCTTACCCTTACTCATTACTTAAATCTCTGAATCTGCTTCCTGTCTCGGCTCCTCCAGTAAACCCTCCAGCTTCTCCAGACGTGACAGTGCAGCCAGGGAAGTCATGCAAGCAACTATGTGCTTCCCATTGCACCAGTCAGGAAACAGGCTGACTTGGCTGTGAGGGGAGGTACCCCGGGGTGAAGCCTGGAAGCTGTTGGAACCCCTGTGCTTCCTGACTAATCAGCTGGGTTGGCCTCTCACGCTGCGTTGGCTGATGACCCACAGCCAGCCCTTCTGGGCTCTATCACCATCCAACATGACAGCAGGTCGCACCATACCCCCAGCTGAGTTACCTGCGTGCTTTACCCGAGCCACGCATGGACCAACAATGGAGGCGCCAGCCAATTTCCCAGCTCCCCAGCCTTGCCCCCCTACTGGAACATAAATCCAGAATTGTTCAGTCCTGCACCAGTCAGGGGTCTGTACGGTGCAAGCTCATTCATTAGCCTGCTTCCCCCTCGCTATGGGGAAGATACGCACCAGACTTTGATACAGAGCTGAGATTCCCTAACACTTCACTCAAAGACACATGGGTTAAGATAAAACAGGTTTATTAGCTACAGAAAGATAGATTTTAAGTGATTATAAGTGATAGGAAACAGATCTAAGTAGATTACCCAGCAAATAAACAAAAAATGCAATCTAAGCCTAATATACTAGGTAAAATTTGAATCAGACTTTTCCACGGCCATTGTTTTTGTTGATGGGCCATTAGCACTGTCTAGCTCAGGGGTGGGCAAACTATGGCCCTTCAGATATTTTAATCCGGCCCTCGAGCTCCCATCGGGGAGCAGGATCCTGGGCTTGCCACACTCCGGCTGGGGAGTGGGGGTAGGGGCTTGCCCCTCTCCACACATGCTGTGGCTCCGCACGGCTCCTGGAAGCAGCGGCATGTTCCCCCTCCAGCTCCTACGCATAGGGGCAGCCAGAGGGTTCCACACGCTACCCCCACCCCAAGCGCCACCCCCGCAGCTCCCATTGGCCAGGAACTGCAGCCAATGGGAGCTGCAGGGTTGGCGCCTGCAGACTGGGCAGCACGCATAGGAGCCGGAGGGGGCACATGCCGTTACTTCTGGGAGCTGCTTGATGTAAGCGCCACCTGGAGCCTGCACCCCTGACCCTCTCCCACGCCCCAGCCCCCTGCCCCAGCCCTCACCCCCCTCCTGCCTTCCGAACCCCTCCGTCCCAGCCCCTTATCCCCAGCCCCACCACAGAGCTCGCACTCCCAGCCTGAGCCCTCCCCCCCCGCTCCCCAACCCTCTACCCCAGCCTGGAGCTCCCTCCCGCACCCTGAGCTCCCCATTTCTGGCCCCACCCCAGAGCCTGCACCCCCAGCCGGAACCCTCACCCCCTCCCGCACCCCAACCCCCAGTTTCATGAGCATTCATGGCCCGCCATACAATTGCCATACCCAGATAGGGCCCTTGGGCCAAAAAGTTTGCTCACCTCTGGTCTAGCTTCTTCATTGTTGTACGTGAAAGGCTAGTTGTGGGCGTTTCCAGCTTCACAACATCTTTCAGTAACACACACACACACACACACACACACACACACAACAAAACTTCATAACTTCACATACAATGACAGCACATACAATCCAACAGGATATTAATGTTCAACAGACCCAGACTTTTAGAAGGATACCTCACAAGGCAGACTTCGTACAAAACAGCCGAATTACATGACAGTGGTGAATATGAGAGTGCCAGGGTGTCACAATGTCCCCTGCCACTAACCAGGAATCATCATCATAATCGAGGTTAGAAATAGAAATGGTCCACTGGATGCTGTCCAGTCCCTCTCCTGGAGGCCAGTGCAGGATTGTTCATCACAGGACATGTACTGGAACAGTTTGAAATATCACAGGTACTGGGGCTTCCAGCCCGGTATTGCATTGAGCTGACACAGAGTGTCGCACTCTTACAGCACCACACCGGAGGCGCCAGCCATTTCGGCAGAAAGTCAGAGACAATCAGTAGATAGCTGTGCTCTGCCTTCCATCCGCCTTAATGACATTTGTGTATGTGGAATTTCCTGATTTTGTTAAAAAAAAAACAACAACCAAACTTGAACTTCTGTGGTATTATTTCCTAATGCTGCTGTATAGATAGTTAAGTATTAGAATGAAGAAAATCTTATTACCGTATATGCTAGTGTGTAAACAGACGCTTAGAATCCAGCCACACCGATCAGTAAAAAAACCAAAAAAACCCTGACCAGTGTTTACGCTGACATGGGTTGTGTGTCCATGGCTGGGGCTGGGGCTGGGGCGTAGCAAGACGTCCTGTCTGGGGAGCCCAGCCCTTGAGTCAGGGATGATGAGTTACCTGGCATGGGAAGCATACAGAAGCTTTGTCAACATTTTACATTATTATTTAGTATTCATATGACATTCACTCCCCGAGCCCCCGGTGCTGAGCCAAACCCCAGTGCGCTGGGGGCTGTGTTAACACACAGACCGACACAAGGAGGGGGGGGATAATTGGATGGATTCACAAGAGAGTGAACTGGGGGGTTTTAGAAAAGTAGCTGCCAAGCCACTGTGAGTCCATATTTCATTATCCATGTTGAGCCTGAACTATTCCCTGCTTCATCGATTCCAAGGCCAGCAGGGACCACTGTGATCATCTCGTCTGACCCCCTGCACAGCACAGGCCAGAGACCTGCCCCACAGTAATATTGGATCTGTGTGGTTGGTTATGGCACTTCCCTTGAAACCTTCACACCTTTGGTGCCATTTGAGTCTCTGTTCTAGGGCAGACTGGTGCCAGCATCACAGCTATGGGGGCTGTTATTCTGACTGGTGCCGAGTTTGGTTCAATGGAGTTCTTAGATCTGAGAAAAGCTAGGTACATCCAGTTCAGTTCCTGCTGCACGTAGAGAGCCAGACAGTGGAGCAGGGACTTCATCTGAGCCTTATTTACGTCCTTGGACTGTTCTTGAACAGAAGCCTCGCTTTGGGTACTCTACCCTGGGTGGGCTACCTGGGCCTCCCACTTCAGTAACATCATGAAAGAGGTGTCCATCCAAGCCAAGCCAAGCCAAGCCAAAGTCACCACCTTTGTGGAGGCATCGCCACCCCTGCAATGTGGTAGTGGCAAATGTGGTTTCTACCGATCAGAAGACAAGGAGGAAGAACCAGTGAGCAGAGTGAAACAGAAACTTCCCCACTGGACAGGTTATCCCATAATAGTCCATCATTGGGTTTCTTAACCTTCCTGAAGCATTTTACAGTGTCCCGTGTCAGAGACAGGCTACTGGGCTAGATGGTCTGATCCAGTAAGACTATTCCTTTGGTCTGACATGGCCTCTTGGGCCCAATGTATACCAGAGGAAACTAGGCAGGAGTTTCTTGAACTCTTTAAGAAGGGCTGGAAGGAGTCAAAGCACTCCTCGATGGCTTCCTTTCACATCTCCGACACCGAAACCAGGTCTTCGGCCACAGCTGTCACTTTTCCATTCCAAGGCTGAGGAGGTTTTTAAAAACTGAAGAGCCCTCAAGGCAAGAGCCAGGCATTCGGACCTGAGCCAGCCCACCATCTGAGGGCTGTCAGCCCCCTGTTCCAGCTGTTCTCAGGGACGGCACAATCCAGAGCCAGACACCAGGGAAACTAGACAAACCTTGCAGGGGCGTTAGGGAGCCTCCCCTCTGCATCTCTGCAGCCTCAGTGGGCGCTGAGTCTAGGACTGAGGATATATTTAGGCTTGGCAGAATTAACTTTGTATTTTTATATCATTTTGACAGATAATATCAGTGTTTATTTTAAGCATTTTTTCCACAGTTGTGAAAAATTATGTGGGGGGGGGGTTCAGACAATTATTTAATGACAGTAAAAGTTGAGAGTCAAGAAGTTGGAGCTTTATAAACTGTTAAACATCACATGTCCAAGTATACAAAGTAAATGTCCTTAAATCCGCAAATCCCAACCGGTTTTCCAGTCATTCACTAGTCCATTTGCAACAAGCCTAATTCAAAATTCTAAATCACTGGGTTTTGACTCTAATAATTTCTGAAGCAGCATTTTTCTTACTTTGCCTATCTGTACATTTCTGTTGTTATTGATGGAAATTTTTTTGTTGGTTTCTGCCTGCACAGTGAAATTGATAACCAACATATACCGATACAAATCTAATTCTTCCAAGCCTAGACATACTAGAAGGCTCAGAGACAGTTCTGAAGTTAGATCTGCCTTCTCCATTTATCTCACCATTTGGGGAATGCTTAACCCAACTTTTTCCAGCATGGCAGAAGATCTGTTTGGACTCTTGGGTCCTGGAGATCATCATCCGGTTTTGTGAGATCGTTTTGTAGCTCTTCGCAGTCTGCTTTGGACTTAACTATCTTGACTAGTTTTGTATCATCTGCAGATTTTGTCATCTCACTGTTTACCCCTTTTTCCAGATCATTTATGAATATATTGACTAGGTCTGAGCCCAGTACAGACCCCTGGAGGACACCACTATTTACCTCTCTCCATTCTGAAAACTGACCATTTATTCCTACCCTTTGTTTCCTATCTTTTAACCAGTTACTAATCCATGA